CTTACGAGGTGATATAAAAAAGACCTGGAAAACCTGTCAGAAATTCTAGGAACAAAAAAGATATCACAAAAATAGCGAAATAAAAATTAGCAAAATCAGATGAACCCCAACTCCACCAACAGAAACAGCAAACAGACTCAATGATTTCTTCTCCATAGGACAAAAACCTTCCCAAATTTAAAATCCTAAGCTCAGTTTACCCCACCAAATGACTACCTCACTAGCAACTACCCGAACACACTGTTCCTAGCTCCGACAAAACCCATACGAAGTCTCCCTTATTATCAACACTAAAAAACAAGGCAGGAGATTTAAATACCTTACCCCCCTTTTTATATACAAAAAAGTGTCACAATTTGCTATCCCAATCATTGCAACATTCTTTAACAAATCCATTGAATCCCCATTTTCCCCTTTACAGTTCTCAAAATAGAAAGGGTCACCCGACCATAAAGGAGGAGGACCAGAGTTGAAAAAACTATAGGCCAAATTATCCAATTACACCCTCTCTCAAAAATCTTCAAAAAATCAATTCATAAACAAATCTACTCCTACCTATCTCCCAAAACGTACTAAACCCCCTGCCAATTTGAATTCAGGCCTAAAAAATACTAATGATGCTATTATACACATGCTAGAACATATATACACTGCAATAGAAAAAAAAGAAGTCACGGGGGATCTTCATTGGACTTATGTAAAGCTTTTGATACAGTTGACCATGACTTGCTCCACATAAAATTGTCCCCACTATGGTATAAGAGGGCACTCCCTCAACTACCTCAAGTCATACCTCAGCAACAGAAGCCAATATGTGTACACAAATTGGGCAAACTCTTCTGCCCAAACCTTTTACAGTTGGTGCCCCACGGGAAGTGTCCTTGGCCCTCTTCTCTTTCTCCTTACATAAATGACCTACCAAATGCTTCGCAATTACTCAAACCCACACTATTTGCAGATGACACTACATATGTCTTCTCTCACCTGAGCCCAGTCATGCTACCCAATACTGTAAATACCGAATTACAGAAAATATCTACCTGGATGGGGAAATAACAAACTTACACTAAACATTGACAAACCTACTTCATTCAGTTTGGTAACAGAGCTACAGATGTCCCTCTTAACATAATGATAAACGGATCACCTATCACAAAGCTAACAGAGGGAAAATTCTTGGGAAAATCCACCTTGATAATAGACTCAAATTTCATACACATATACAACAATTCTAAAAAAATTTCCAAGACCGTAGGCATACTATCAAAGATACGGTACTATGTTCCACGTCACCCCTCCTGGCCCTTTATCACTCTCTTTTTTACCCCTATCTCACCTATGGATTTGTGCATGGGGCTCAACAACAATTAACCATCTCAGACCACTAATTCCCCAACAAAAGGCTGCAGTCAAAATTTGATAACAAATTCCACTACAGGCAGCAACTCCACCAATATTCAAAACACAAAAACCTACTCACTATACAAAACATCCATACTTATTACTGACCTATTACTTTACATAAAAACACTTAACTCTGATATTAACCCTCCCCTCAAAACATCCCCTTGCAAACCTCAACAGAACACAGGGACCATAACACAAGGCACAGATCACTCTTTGATGTTCCTCGTGTCCATCTCACGCTATGCAAAAACTCAATGCACATAAAAGGCCCTAAAATTTGGAATTCATTACCTGTAAATATAAAAGAAACACTACCTGTTTATAAATTCAAGTCTCTTCTCAAAGATCACTTACTCACTCAAAAACCAAATAAATACTGAATAACTGAACCTTATAAATTGTTTATCTTAAATGTTTCTCAAAATTATATCACATAAATGTTAAACCTAAGACCCAATCTAACTTTGTTATCTTTTAAATACACTACCTAACAGAATACTCCATTCTACTGAATGTACAGCAATGCATGCAACCATATGACCTGTCTTTGTAATACTCATTTGTGCGTTATAGTTATCTGTTTACAATAATGTTTTATCACCGATTACATCATTGCTTAGTTAATTTTAAGTTAATTTTAAGCCAGCCCGTAATGCTATGCTTACAAGTGGCTTTGGCATGCTGCTCTTACCTGTATTTTTTTTTTTTTGTTCCTCTGTATGTATGTTCAAATTATTAAATAAATAAATAAATAAATAACCAGGGGCTTTCTATATGTCAGCTAGGTCTGTACAAGTTGTATCATGTGCTTTTAGAAATAAAGATTATTATTATAGTAGTAGTGTAATATTTGCTTTGTTCCCTGCTCTAGTTTTTAACAAATTCATTTAAGCAGCTTCTGTTGAGTTAGTTGGGGAGAGGTATAATGTGTGGGTAGTTATTAGTGAGATAATCACTAACTTAGGCATGGGAGTTTAGGATTTTGCTAGCCAGGTTTGATCCTATAGTCAAGAAGAAATCATTTACTTTATTATCTGTATCAGAGATATGGAGGGAAGGTTCATTAGATTAGCAAACTTATTTATGCTCTGGATTTAGGAGTGTTTTCCAGGTATTTTTAATTCCTCACTCTTGTTTCTTTGACCTGTTGGGCATTAATCCCAATCTGTATTGTTTCTCATAGTTATGCTTTTGTCTTGATTTAGGGATGCTGTTGGTTATTCATGGGCTGTTTAGTCTTTTGTTGTGACCTGTTTGTTTGTTTTTTAAAAAAGGCTTTAAAGTATTTGTAGGGATACATGGATGCACAATGTATTGATAGTAGTTAAATGCTCTTTGCCAGTTAGTGTTCCTGAGTGCAGTGATAGTTATTCACTGATGCCTCATAATGGAACCTGAATGAAATTTTATTAGTTGCAGGTAGTGATTTTGAAATATAGAGGGGTAGTAGTTCATTGTTTTGTTTCTGATTATAACAGCTTTAGAGCTGTTATGTTTGTCCAGATATAGTCAAGTTAAGATGCATTTGTCTTGGTAATTGCAGTTGGTTTGGTGATTGTCATTATTAATAAACAGTTATACACATTGTTTGATAAACCAGCTATTTGTTGGTCGTTTGACTGTATGAGGTTCATGTTAGTTTCTGGCAAGTATTAAGTGATATTTATTATGATTAAGTCTTTAAGGACATCATCAATGTTATGCTGGTATGTGGTGATCTGTAGACCTCTCTATTGTAAGTAGTGTCTCTAAATGTTTTAATGTAAATTGCACAAGTATGTATTCACTGTGTGCATATCTGGTACATGTTAATACATTTCACACCATCACTAGTAGAATGTGGTTCTACAGACCCATCTGTTGACACATCCACTCCCAGATATCTGAATACATTCACGTCTACTTCCTCCAATCTTTCACTACTTTGACTTTTTGTTTCATTACCTTGCTCTGTTCTATGTTCATTTTTAATTTCCTTCTTTTACATATCCTCCTAGATTCCTCCACCAACCTTTGAGCTGTCAGCAAAGACTAACTGTGATAACTCTCACTTCATATCAGGTTCATTATGTTCTAATCCTTCACTTCTTCCCAACTTCTTAGCATTCACTTTTACGTAGAAACCTCCATCTATAAACATTAAACAACCATGGTAATGTCACACATCCCTATCTTTGATCTCTTTTATTGGAAAATAGTTGCCCCTTCTCCTATATATCCCAGTCAGAGCCTCACTATCTGCATAAAAAATATTGACTGCTTTTAGTACCTAATCCTTATTCAGTACATTTACAACATCTGTCACCCATCATATGCATTTTCTAAATCCATAAATGCAATGAACAACTCCTTACTTTTATGGAAATATTGTTCACTTGTATGCTTCAATGTAAACACTTAATTTATATACATATGTATTACGTACCCTTCCAAAATCCTTTTTACTCTGCTTTCCTACTTTCTGTCTTAACCTGACTTTCATTAAGAATTGTACCATACTTTATCTGGTACACTCAACAGGCTTATACCTCTATATGTAATTCTTACTCTCTCATTTCTTTTTCCTTTATAAAAAGAAATTGTACATGCTCTCATCCAATCCTTAGGTATGTTCCCTTTCATGCATATGCAGTATATTGAACAAATACACCAATCACTCCAAAACTATATCCCTACCTACTTTTAAGATCTTTATCTTAATTCAACCTCCCAGTTTTATTCCCTTTTATTCTAACCACTGTTTTACACACTTTCCCTACACTCATTTCTGGCTCTTCCATACTTTATGTTGGTACTTCCTGCCTGGTACTTAATATCACTACCTCCCTCCCTTCATCAGCATTTAACAGGTCTTCAGAATATTCCCTCCATCTTTCTAGCACTTTCCCTTCCTATCTAGCATCTCCATTTTATATTTTTAACTGCAGAGTTCATTTGCTCCTCAGGCTTTCTCACCTTATTAATCTCACTCCAAAATTTGCTAATAGAACCTTCCTTTTGCACTCTCTCACCCTCTCTTTTTCTCTCCATATATCGTAATCTGCCTTCTGTATATCATTTCTACATTGTGGAAACCTTCCATATGCTGTTTCTTGATTACCACTCTCATTCTACCAATCATTCCTCTTCCTACCTGCACACACTCCTATACCCACACCTGCTGTGCACTTCTCATTACTTGTACTCTCTTTAGCCCACCCTTCTTCTAATAGTTGCTTTTATCTTCTAACTACTATCTCCTCTTTTTTTAATTATTCACTTTCACTTTTCTCTTACCCATTGATGATATTCTCCATTAGAGGCCAATGTTCTATCTCAGAATTAATCAGTTTTTATGAAAAAAATAAAAAAAGTTGCTCATTCCAAACCAAAAGCTGGAGTTTGAAGGAGAGTTTAAGAGAACTACTAAATGAGGAAGGTGAGAAAATGAAAGAGCCTGGTAGCTAATACAGTGTGTTACTTGTCACAGAATAGTAAGAGTCATTCACCAGATTCACAAAAAAAAAAAAAATATACTGTTTGTACAAACTTAGGCATTAAAAGTTAAACTTAATGACAAAGTCATAAATTAGTTGGTATGAAATAAAAACATATTAAACTTGTATTATCTATTTATACTGTACATTTAGCTATAAAATTCTCTTTGATTACAGAGATAATATGTATGAGGCACTAAAAGCTAATTTAATATATAAAACTCGGCTTTTGGAGAATGTATCTCCATTCTTGAAGCAGGAATGTGTGCTTAAAGCTCTTGCATCAACTTCTCAGTATTTATCACTAAAATTTTAGCATTACTTGAACACTAAATTTTACCCTTCAGTCTTGTCTGCCATTTTCTGATAATTCTCTCACTTTACTATTTCATATTTTCAAAATGCAAGAAAAAATATATTCCCTCTCTCTTTACAACCACCTTTAACAATCTTTGCTGTTTTTTTTAGCAGTTTAATAATTATGTTTGGGATTTTTTTCACATAATAAATTGCACTGTAGTACTGTAGAGGAGTGATGTTCACTGCAGTTGCTATATTATGGAGGTAATTCTCACCTGCCCTCATTATTTACATATCTCATCTTTCTGTTTTCACTTAGGGTTGGACAGAAGCACTTGTGTGAAATATGGAATGTAGAATTTGGCTGTTCATTTTACTATCCTCACATGGTCCTGGTGTAGCGAGCCCCAGTACCAAACTTAGAACGGGCAGAATCTTTAATAGTGCGACCCTGAAAAAGAATAATAAATTAATACTGCATTTTAAATACATTGTTGTATATTTCTTTTGGCTGCCAATCTGCATCTACACACATTCAAATTCTTTCCCAGATATTTTTCTCTGCTATTTTTCACCAAATGCATTCATCTTTTGAAACATATGTAGAGGGCACACAGTTGTTTGTTAGATATTGTTCATTGATATTTTGTGTATGTTCACATAATGTACATGTGATAAGCTCACAGATGTTTGATAGAGTTTGGCCAGGAACTGTAGATTTAATAATTATGCCAATTTGTTGGATGCTACTTCAGTCTGTTCCCACGCACATTAAAAGTTGGTATACTACAGCTGAGTGTACTAACATCATAACCCTCTCTTCCCTTCTACAACTCAGGCATACACTTTCCCCTCACCACAAGCTTCTTGCACTTAATACCCTAATATCAGAAAGAGGGTGGAGTACATGTGTAAAGAGTGTGGTTAGATATGATAAATAGGCAGCCCTGTTACATGCACTGGGAGGAGAGAAGGGTTTATCTGACTACATGTACAGTATACTGTACTTTTAATTAGATTTTTAAAAATTAATCCTACTAGACATAGAATATTATCTTTTGGAAATGAATATTTGATTACATGTGTGTCTTTGGGAAACTGTGTTGAATTCTGAACACTCAGGTTACAATTACAGTGCACGGTGGGAGACCTAATGTACATATTATTTTGTAAATACCACTTTCAAGCTTAAACATACAATGTATGTCCTTCAGGCTTTTTTTTTTTTTATAAACACACTAGCAGTCTCCCACCAAGGTAGGGTGAACGAAAAAATAAGAAACAATTTCACCATCACTGTCTTGCCAGTGTGGTGTCAGCCTTAGTTCAGATGCCCCTCCAAACTGCATCATCCCCACCCTTCCTTCAGACTGTCCTTCCTGCCTCCAGGACTCAAGTCTGGCTAACAGCTTTCCCTGAATCCTTCATACATGTTACCTTGTTCACACTCCAACAGCACATCATACATACCACTTGCTTTCACTTACCCCTATCTAACATGCCTGTTGCATGTCCAACATCAACAGGTGTGTGTGTGTTCAGACTTGTGAACTATGATAGAGTAATTTTTTAGACTGATCCTTGAAATTTTCTCCTATCACTGTGATGACAATGTAAACACTAGTTTGTAGTTTATATTTTTCTTTTCTAATTTTATTTCAGTTCATTATAGTAATTTTTTCTATTTAAAGGATACTTCAGTGCCAGTCCACATATACAGTAATCTACACCAAATATTTCTTAAGAAACAATGTAATCTTTTGAAAAAAAAAAAAAAAAAAAACTCTGGTATTTATCTTTGTATAAACACTAGTGAAGTGTTTGAAAAGTGAAAAAGATTACTTAATTTCTTTTAGATTTCTAGAAACAGCAAAAAAATGTTAAAAAACAAAATCGACACAATATTTAAAGTAAAAATAATTTGTAACTTAATGGTAATAGTTTATTAATGAAACAAAAAGCTTAAAGCTTTTAGATTATACAGTGGACCCGGTAAGAACTTTTTATTCAGTGATTCAGGTGCAGTACTGACGAAATTTTTTCCATAAGAATATGATGAAAGTAGATACCATTTCAGACCCCGTAAACAAAATTGTACAAAGACTACATAAATACACTACATAAATTGGTCGTTAGAGGTGATCGTTAAGCGGGGGTCCACTGTACTCTCTTACAGTATATATATAGTGAAATTTTAAAAATCATTTAGGTTTTTGACCCTTCAAGGGAATTGCTTTCATCATAGGTCATAACAGCAATGTTGACAAGAAAATCAGATTCTTATCCATTCAATGCTCACCTCATTTTTCAAGTTGTCCAGGAACTTTTGTATGTTCTTTATCTCAGTGGCTGTTACATACTTCTTAAGTGCAGTCTCAAACTGACCTTGATGGATTAATTGCTGGAAGATCTGCTTTATGTATTGCCTGTCATTAGGAATAATAAAATCTTAATATTTATTGAAAAATTCTGCAGAGAATATATCTTCCAAAGCTTATGCTGGGAAAGAAGTTATATAGTACATGTATATTAATGGCATTAATAGTGTTATAGGTTTCTAGTAGAGAGGATGCATAGTTCCCTGTATATAGGAAAAAGGAATAAAAGTAAAAATTATGAGACAATAAGACTTGAATATTCCAGGTAAAGTGTATGGTAGGGTTATTATTGAAAGACTTAAGCATAAGATGGAAAGCATGATTACAGATGAACATGGAGGTTTTAGGAAGGGTAGATGTGTAGAGCAAGTGAACAATATTTAAAGGTAAAGAAGTTTTTGAAAAGGTATATGATAAGGTGGATAGGGGAGTAATATGGCAGATGTTGCAAATGTATGGAATAGATGGTAGGTTACTGAAAGCAGTGAAGAGTTTTTACAAAGATAGTGAGGCTCAGGTCAGCATGTAGGAGATTATTTCCCAGTAAAAGTAGGCCTTAGACAGGGGCACTTGATGTCACCATGGTTGTTCAATATATTTACAGATGGGGTTGTAAGAGAAGTGACTGCTCTGGTGTTAGCAAGAGATTTGGGATGAAGAGATAAAGAATTTAACACAAAGTGGGAGTTGTCACAGTTGCTTTTTGCTGAAAACACTATTTTTGGGAGATTCTGTATTTTCTGAGATTTCTTCCTCCTTCCCACCATCTGTTCATTCCTTCCCTCTGTTGCTACTTCTCTCCTTATATTCGTCACTCCCATTCTTTTTTTTTTTTTTCTTACTCCCTTCCTATTTTCATCCTTCTTCCTTGCATCCCTAATTTCTCTATAGCCATTTACCTGCACCTAAATATCTTGATTACTAATCCATTTATCTTCAAGACACTGAAATAACCTATATTAACCAATCTCTACCAAATAAATGTAAGTACAAAGTTGGAGGCATAATCCTTATACATCTTACCTAGTCTCTAAGCTGCCATCTTGGGCCAGCTTGGCTGCTGCAGGTAGAATACGATCTGTTATATCCTTCTGGCCTGAGAGTACTCTACTGGGTCCAAGTCTCTCTACTTCATATGCTAGAAGTCGGGCAACAGTTGTTCGCACTACAGCATTCTTGTGACTGAAAGTAATTTGTACATTTCATATGAATTTAGGACTACACTGCCTTTTACTATGATGGCTCAATTCAAATTTACTGCAATAAGACAAGTCAAAAAAAAAGTAAGTGAATTCTTGATTTAATTGATTAATGGCTGGGGATGGGGAGGAGTGGGTGGTTGGCATTGGCGATTGTAGTAAACAGAACTGAGATTGTTTTGCCATGATCGTAACAATAATGGGCAATTCTGTAACAAATGAACCTTGTTGTTTCCAAATCAACTGATCAGTGGATTTTATCCCATTTTTCTAAAGTCCATTATATTGAGGGCTTATTCTATTAGCAAAATTTTCTACAACACTTTAGAAATCTATTTTCAAATTCCTTACCATGTTTTTTTTTTTTTACTACTTTAACATTACTAAATGACACAAATGAAGCTGGCTAGTTTGTGGAGAATGAGTCAATTTTGCTAATGTGACTATTTTGTGAGTTTACTATATACAGTCTCTCCTCACTTAACAACGGAGTTCCATTCCTAAGAGTAGGTCTGTAAATAAACTGGTCGTTAAGCGAGGAGCATACTATACTAGTAGTGGGTTTGTGTCAACCGTCTTTAGATATTGTTTTAATGTCACCTTTGCACCATTTATAACATTTTTAGTATAAAGTATTTTTAAATGTTTATACAGTAGTGTACTGTATATTGTGATAAACAGAATAGGCAAAATTAGCTCTAATATACATTACTTAGGTATGCATACTGGTCAAGAGAGCTGGTCGTAAGTCAGAGCGGTCATCAACCAAGTACATCATTAAGTGAGGAGAGATGGTATATACTTTTTTCCAATTACTGAACAGGCTTAACATTACTAATTCTGAATATAATGTACAGTACCATGTAATTACTGTATGTATCCTTTATACCAAGATGAGACAGATTTTATCAAACAAGTTTTTAGGTATGTGTATGCTAAAATTATTATTGTAATCAAAACCAAATGCTAAACCCATAAGAGTCATAGAGCACTGTTTTATGCTAAAAAGATGTAGTACTGTATGACCCTGGTGGTTTAGTGCTTAGTTTTGATTATAATAATATACTAAAAGCTAGTCATCTATCACTGGCAGTAATGCGAGATGTTATCACCTATAGGCAAGATTTGTAGAGCATTAATATAGTAAGAAGTTAATAGTTAACAAGTGGCCAAGAAGGTACAGTACTACCTTCATATTATGATTACATCTCTTGTTTAATACTGTAGCTGCTGTATAGCCCTTGTGGCTTAGCACTTCTTTTTGATTATAATAATAATATACTGTAGCTACATTCAATGCTCATGCAGTGGTACCAGGTTCAAACAGGTCATGAAAAATTGCACGTAATAATCTTCAGTCTGAATGTGCGTGGATGTTGTGCAGATGATAAGAAAGAGATGATTGTGGATGTTATGAATGAGAAGAAGCTGGATGTCCTGGCTTTAAGTGAAACAAAGCTGAAGGGGGTGGGAGAGTTTCAGTGGAGAGGAATAAATGGGATTAGGTCAGGGGTTTCAAATAGAGTTAGAGCTAAAGAAGGAGTAGCAATAATGTTGAAGGATAAGCTATGGCAGGAAAAGAGGGACTATAAATGTATTAATTCAAGGATTATGTGGAGTAAAAAAAGATTGGTTGAAAAGGGGGTTAAAAAAGGTGTATGCACCTGGGGGAAGAGGAGAAAGTGTGAGGAGAGAGGAGATTTTGGGAAATTTTGGGGGATGAATGCGGGGGGAGTTTTGAATAAGTGTGAGAGTTGGTGTTGGGGGGTTTTTAATGCTAAAGTGGGTTTAAAAATGTTAGGAGGGAGTATAGGTAAATTTTGGGGGTGCCAGGGGAAAAATGAAAGGGGGCTTTAAATTTGAGTATGTGTAAAAAGAAATTTGGAATAAGTAATACATTTTTATAAAAAGAGGATAAAAAAATATACAAGGTAGATGTGCACGTAATGAAAGTGTTTATTAGTTTATGTATTGGGGAAAAAAGGGTTTTGATGGGTAGGCTCCAGGATTACATGTTTTTAAAGAGGGGCAACGTATATCGGATCATTATTTAGTTTAGCTAATTTTAAGAAAAGAGGTGAGGGGGAAAAAGAGGAAGGTGGCAACAACAAGTAAGAGGGAGGTAAAAGTGTAAAAACTAAGGGGAAATTTGGGTGAGATATAAGCGACTTTTGGGCAAAAAAAAGGGGGGTAGTGCAAAGTTAGTATTGGGGGGGGTTGAAGAGGGTTGGAAAAAAAAAAGTTTTAAAAATTTGCAGTATTAGAATGTGGGGCCAAAAAAGTTTGTGGTTATAGGGGGTGGGGGCAGGGGGGGGAAAGGGAGTGATTGGGTGGAATGATGAAGTAAAGGGTGGTTAAAAGAGAAAAAGGTAGTTTATGAGGGGTTTTTTACAAAGCAGAAGTGTTAAAGAAGAGCAAGTATAGGGAGAGTAAAAGAAAGGAAAAGAAGTGGTAGAGAGTGCAAAAGGAGAGCAGATGATGAGTGGGAGAGGCACTGTCAAAAAATTTTAAATGAAAAAAAGAAAAAATTTTGGAGTGAGTTAAAAAAGTTAAGAAACCCTAGGGAAAATATGGATTTGTTTTTTTAAAAACAGAGTGGGGGGAAAAGTAGATGGGGAAAAATGGAGGTATGGGAAGATGGCGAGTTTTTTTGAGGAACTTTTTAAAATGAAAGGGAAAAAAACAAGGCAGAAATTTTTATGCATGGCCCAGGGAGGTAACCATTTTTAGGAGTAAAGAAGAGCAAAATGTAGTGTGGGGGAGGTACGTGAGGCCTTACGTAAAATGAAAGGGGTAAAGAGCGGGAACGAGGGGATTGAAGAAATGTTAAAGCGGGGGGGGGATATGTGTTGGAGGGTTGGTACTTTTTTTTAATAAATTATGAAAGGGGGAAAGGGTCCTAGGGATTGGCAGAGAGATGTTATCCCCCTTTTTATAAAAGGGGGAAGGGGACAAAGAGACTGTAAAAATTATAAGGGGGGAAAAAGCTTACTGAGTATACCAGGAAAAATGTACGGTAGGGTTATAAGAAAAGAAATTTGAGGTAAGCAGAATGTAGGATTGGGATGAGCAAGGGGTTTTAGAGTGGGGGGGGGATGTGTAGTCAGGGGGTTTTCATTGAAGCATATATGTGAACAGTATTTAGATAAGATAGGGAAGTTTTTATTGTTTTTGGATTTAGAAAAGGCATTGATAGAGTGGATAGAGGAGCAATGTGGCAGATGTTGCAGAATATGGAATAGGTGGGAAGTTATTAAATGCGTAAAGATTTTTTTAGAGGATAGTGAGGCTCGGTTTGGGGGTGTAGAAGAAGGGGGGGAAATACTTCCCCGGTAAAAATAGGTCTTAAAGGGGTGTGTAATGTACCCTGGGTTTTTTAATATATTTTTTGATGGGGTTGTAAAGGGAAATAAATGCTAGGGTGTTGGGGGGGGGGGGAAAAATTTTTTGGGGAAACAAATTAAAAAGGGAATTGACACAGTTACTTTTTGCGATGATCTGTGCTTATGGAGATTCTAAAGAAAATTGAAAAGGGTTTAGTGGATGGTTTGGGAAGGGTTGTAAAGGTAGAAAAGTTAAAGTGAACATAGAAAAGAGTAGGTGATGAGGGTTCAAAGATTTTAGAAAAGAAAAAATTTATATAAAATTGGGGAGGAGGAGTTGGAAGAGTAAATTTTTTCAGATACTTGGGAGTTGAGGTCGGCGGAGGGTTTATGAAGGTGAGGTTAATCATAAAATTTGATGAGGGAAAAAAGGTGAGGGGTGCGTTGGGGTTATGGGGAGTCAAAAAACTTTTTCTATGGAGGAAAAGAAGGGATGTATGAAGTTGTAGTACAACACTTTTAATGGGTTGAAGCTTGGGTGGTAAAGCAGAGGAGGAACGGTTGGGGGCAGCGGAGATGCCCTTTTAAGGGCAATGTGGGGTGTAAATATTATGCAGAAAATTCGGGTGTGGAAAATTAGGAGAAGGTGTGGAGTTAAAAAAAATTTTTTTGTCAGAGGGCAAAAGAGGGGTTGTTGAGGGGGTTTTTGGTATTTAGAAAAAAAAGGACCCAAGAAGACGGGAAAAGCATATAAATCTATAGGGGAAAAAGGAAGGGGGGGTAGGGGGCGTCCTCGAAAGGGTTGGGAGAGAGGGGGGGTAAAAGGAGTTTTTTGGGTAAGGGGGGTTTGGGCTTTCCCGCAAGCGTGGGAGCGTTTAGATGGAGTGAATGGGACGAATGGTATTGGGCCCCGACGTTTGGGTTGGGGTGTGAGCAGGGTAAATTTAGTGAAGGGGGCGGGAAAACCGGTTTTTTTTTTTTTTTTATTAGTCGGGCTTTGGGCCCGGAAATGGGAAGTCAATGCCTGCACTTTAAAGGGGGGGGGGTTTGGGATTTGGCAGTTTGGAGGGTTTATGTTGTGTATCTTTAATTTTATGTTTTGGGACTGTTGTATTTGAGCACCTCTGAAAAAAAACATGATAATGTGCGGGTGTGTGAAAGTGTTGAATGATGATGAAAGTATTTTCTTTTTGGGGATTTCTTTTTTTTTGGGTCCCCCTGCCTCGGGGGGAGACGGCCGACTTGTTAAAAAAAAAAAAAAAAAAAAAAAAAAAAAAAACTCTTTACAAACCCACAAAAAAATTCGTAGGCAAATGTAAAAATTTGCATGTACAAAATTATTGCCCCAATTTTAAAATCACTAACAGAAAATTTTGCATAAATGAGGGGAACCTGCATTAAAAAAAGAAATATTTCACAACTGAAAGTTTTTGTTCCCCTTTTTGTTAAGATCATATCAGGATTATTTTAAACCCCCATTTTATTTTATCATTTTTCATCTGTTTTTGTGCATGCTTTGAATTAATTCAACTTTTACCCCCTTAAAATTTTTCTAGGGGGTCCCCCCCTTTGGTCTAACAAGTTTTTTTTTTTTTTATTTCCTTTAGGAGGGGGGGTCTTTTTAAGTTTCCTTAGTAGTGCTGTGGAGGCTGGGCCATCAGGAGGGGAAATGGGCCATTTTAAAGGGGCATGTAGGTGACCCGCAGGAAACATTAAGGAAAAAAAAAAAGGGCATTTGGCAAGACTTCTGATAAAGGTTCGGTAATCTTACAAAAGATTCTTTGTTCCTGAAATTGACAGCTGGCACTTGAAAACTGTCACATGTATAGGGGGAAAAAAAACGGGCTAGGTACACAGCACCTCAACTATCCAACGCGATCTCGTTTACTTGTTTTGCCCAACCTTTTTTTCTCCCTTTTTAAAGCAGTAAAAAAAAAAGTGATCTACTTTGGACATATAGGGGTTAAAAAAAAAAAAATTAAGTGCTTATTTCATCAAAAATACAGTAATTAAGTTTAGACAAAATATAAACATGTCATTGCTTGTCGATTCAGAAATGTATATGTACCTAAATCCTAAATAAAAACTATTTAATTTAAATAAACTTTGGAAGGAATGGAGACATAATATGTCTCCATTCCTTCCAAAGAAAATGACATGGCACTCAGTCCACAGAAAATGAAAATGGCTAATACACTGTCAGTAACTTATAAATTTATTATATGATCTTATCAGTATACAACATGCATAAAAAGTAAGAAGAGTTTTACCCTACCTTAAATTCTTTGTTTCTCGTGTTTGGAGAGGATTATGCAGCTCAGCTGAGGTGGTGGTGGTGATTATATTATCACTATTACTTATTTTTTTATACACTTCAAATAATGTAGTTTACATATAATAAAATATTGGTAGACAAAATACAGCCACTAGTATGCAGTGCATTTCAGGCAAACTAATCCTAATGCTTAAATGTTACTCAAGATTTAAACAGACTGTTACCTAGAGGGTGTTCTGGGAGTAAATTCCCCCACGGCCCAATCCATGATCTGGCCTCGCAGTGGATCAGGGCCTGATCAACCAGGCTGTTACCGCTGGCTGCACATAAACCAAAGTACGAACCACAACCCAGCTGGTCAAGTACATGACCCCGCATTTAAAGGATCACCTCCAATGCGACCATTTGTAAGTGATTTATGTAAGTGCGTTGTACTGTATGTTTGGGGTCTGAAATGGACTAATTACTTCTCATTATTTCTATGGGAAGCAAATCGGTCAGTCTGGCCCTGAACATACTTCTGGAATGAAAATTCGTTAACCGGGTCACTTACTGACTTCAGGTGCCTGTCCAGCTGCTCTTGAGACATGCAGAGGTCTGTTGGTAATCTCCATTATGTTGCCTGGGAGAGTGAACAGTCTTGGGGGGGCCTGAATTCTATGTTTCCTTATGTCCTGCACCGCTTTTCATTGCGGATGCACTGCCTGCCAAGTCGTTTGTTTTGTAGGGTGATTTCATGTGCAGATTGGGACAACTTAGATTTCAAGTTATGATGTATCTTTTTTGCCTGCATTCCAAGGAGTGCAGGTCAAGGGACTTCAACCATTCCAAGTAGTTGAGGTGCTTTATTGTACTTATAAGTGCTGTGAAAGTTCTTTGTATATTCTCAAGGTCTGCAGTTTTCCCTGCCTTAAAAGGGGCTATTAGTGTACAGCAGTATTCCAGCCTATGAAAAACAAGAGATTTAAAGATAATCATCATTGGCTTGGCATCCCTAGTTTTCAATGTTCTCATTACCCATCCTATCACTTTCCTAGCAGATGTAGTAGATTCATTGTTGCGATCTTTAAAAGTGAGATTCTCTGACACTGTCACTCCTAGGTCCTTCACAAATGCCTTTTATGTATTTAATCAGGCAATATAATCACACCTTTATACAATTTTCTCATTTATAATAGTGACAAGGAAGAATTTTATCACACCTTCAATTCCCTTTTCTCTTGCATGCTGATGGAGAAGTGTTAGGACATGTTTACAGTTGAGATGAGGAAGTATTTCATGTCTTTCACAGTCATGACCCTCGAAATTAAAAGTATTGACAATAGTAGAGAATCTTTTTCTAAAGGTAATGATACAAAAATTATGAAATGTGATGGAAAACTTATGGAGTCATGCTGGTGCAAAGTTAGCAGTCTGGACATGATTTGTACTTTAGCAATTTTGCCCAATTTGGGTCCTGTTTTAGGATAATTCCATTGCTCAGTTTTACCAAATTCTTAGTTATTTCACTAATATGCCTTCTACTGATTGAGCACAAGTAACCACTCTTACACAAAATTCAACAAAATCCCATTTAAAAATAGTCCAAAATAAACACTATGTATTCCAACCACTAAAACAACTTATTCTCTGTTCATTAATCATGTCTCCTATATAACACTTGTTCTCTATTTTGAGTCCATTATCATTGGCATCAGTAGGTATCAGCTAATATTTTATAGTATTGGTATCGGTAAGTACTGGCTAATTTTGATGGCATCAGTATTGGCAAAAATTTTGGTATTACCTCACATTAGTCTTATCACAGGGAACACACAAATCAGTTTAAACATCTGCAGTGCCATAACACAATGACTGACCTCCTCACTGATGATCCTACCTTCAACACAGACTCGTTCTTTGGCTTTTTAAGAGACTAACCTATTGCACGAATTTTAATATTAATTTTGCACATACTGAACTCCAATTCCACTAACCCCTATCCTTACACACACCACCACATTGCAACACTGTATGACCCATGTGGGTTAATAATAGCAGCAGCAAGATAAAAAATATATATATATATAAAGTACACTATACATGTATTTACCTGATTCCTTCTTGAATGATGGCTGGAATAGATTTTGTAGGGGAGATATTTTCCACCAGAGCATCTAAAGCATGATGGCTATCCAACTGTAGAAACTTGTTAGTGTCTGCTGTACGGTGTAAGAGCATAGCAACAATTTTCTCAGAGTCCTGTTGGTGATAAAATTTTGCCTGTATATAACTAACACACAAAGTCAGTATTCAATTCCCTGGTTAATTTAATGAGTTATATATGACAGGTTGACCCCTGTTACATTTTTTGGGGGCTAGCAAGAGTGCTTTCATAACAGCATCAAGAATGAAAGGGGTGGGAAAAGTGAACAAGAGAGATGCAGTAGCAGGAGGGAGGATAAGAGGAAGGAAGAGGTGGTCAGAACTGTGAGGACATGGGAAGAGAACCCATCAAGAGAGGTTCCTTGATGCTGGTGAGGGGATTCTTGATCCAAGGAATTTGATCAAGCCTAATTGCCCCTCACCCTCCCAGTTTCCAGGCAGTCTAATCCCTATAGGTTTATCTTTTACCCCCTAATTTTCTTTCAACTTTAATGGCCATCTCCAACCAAGATAGGGTGATCTAAATAACAGGAAATGCATTCACCATCATTCATTCAATCTATGTCATACCAGAAGTGTGCTGACATCACAATCAGCTTAGCCACTCCAAAAATTGCAGCATCCACACCCCTTCTTCAGAGTGCAGGCAATGCTTCTCTCACCTCCAGGACTTGAGTCACCAGTTTCTCAGTTTCCCTTATTATTATCACACTGGCCGATTCCCACCAAGGCAGGGTGGCCCGAAAAAGAAAAACTTTCACCATCATTCACTCCATCACTGTCTTGCCAGAAGGGTGCTTTACACTACGGTTTTTAAACTGCAACATTAACACCCCTCCTTCAGAGTGCAGGCACTGTACTTCCCATCTCTAGGACTCAAGTCCGGCCTGCCGGTTTCCCTGAATCCCTTCATAAATGTTACTTTGCTCACACTCCAACAGCACGTCAAGTATTAAAAACCATTTGTCTCCATTCACTCCTATCAAACACGCTCACGCATGCCTGCTGGAAGTCCAAGCCCCTTGCACACAAAACCTCCTTTACCCCCTCCCTTCAACCTTTCCTAGGTCGACCCCTACCCCGCCTTCCTTCCACTACAGACTGATACACTCTTGAAGTCACTCTGTTTCGCTCCATTCTCTCTACATGTCCGAACCACCTCAAACAACCCTTCCTCAGCCCTGTGGACAACAGTTTTGGTAATCCTGCACCCTCCTAACTTCCAAACTACGAATTCTCTGCATTATATTCACACCACACATTGTCCTCAGACATGAACATCTCCACTGCCTCCAGCCTTCTCCTCGCTGCAACATTCATCACCCATGCTTCACACCCATATAAGAGTGTTGGTAAAACTATACTCTCATACATTTCCCTCTTTGCCTCCAAGGACAAAGTTCTTTGTCTCCACAGACTCCTAAATGCACCACTCACCCTTTTCCCCTCATCAATTCTATGATTCACCTCATCTTTCATAGACCCATCCGCTGACACGTCCACTCCCAAATATCTGAATACATTCACCTCCTCCATACTCTCTCCCTCCAATCTGATATCCAATCTTTCATCACCTAATCTTCTTGTTATCCTCATAACCTTACTCTTTCCTGTATTCACCTTTAATTTTCTTCTTTTGCACACCCTACCAAATTCATCCACCAATCTCTGCAACTTCTCTTCAGAATCTTCCAAGAGCACGGTGTCATCAGCAAAGAGCAACTGAGACAACTCCCACTTTATGTGTGATTCTTTATCTTTTAACTCCACGCCTCTTGCCAAGACCCTCGCATTTACTTCTCTTACAACCCCATCTATAAATATATTAAACAACCACGGTGACATCACACATCCTTGTCTAAGGCCTACTTTTACTGGGAAATAATTTCCCTCTTTCCTACATACTCTAACTTGAGCCTCACTATCCTCATAAAAAACTCTTCACTGCTTTCAGAAAACCTACCTCCTACACCATACACCTGCAACATCTGCCACATTGCCCCCTATCCACCCTGTCATACACCTTTTCCAAATCCATAAATGCCACAAAGACCTCTTTAGCCTTATCTAAATACTGTTCACTTATATGTTTCACTGTAAACACCTGGTCTACACACCCCCTACCTTTCCTAAAGCCTCCTTGTTCATCTGCTATCCTATTCTCCATCTTACTCTTAATTCTTTCAATAATAACTCTACCATACACTTTACCAGGTATACTCAACAGACTTTTTTTTTTTTTTTTAACAAGTTGGCCGTCTCCCACCGAGGCAGGGGTGACCCAAAAAAGAAAGAAAATCCCCAAAAAGAAAATGCTTTCATCATCATTCAACACTTTCACCACACTCACACACATAATCACTGTTTTTGCAGAGGTGCTCAGAATACAACAGTTTAGAAGCATATACGTATAAAGATACACAACATATCCCTCCAAACTGCCAATATCCCAAACCCCTCCTTTAAAGTGCAGGCATTGTACTTCCCATTTCCAGGACTCAAGTCCGACTATATGAAAATAACCGGTTTCCCTGAATCCCTTCACAAATATTACCCTGCTCACACCCCAACAGATCGTCAGGTCCCAAGTACCATTCGTCTCCATTCACTCCTATCTAACATGCTCACACACGCTTGCTGGAAGTCCAACCCCCTTGCCCACAAAACCTCCTTTACCCCCTCCCCTCCAACCCTTTCGAGGACAACCCCTCCCTCGCCTTCCTTCCCCTATAGTTTTAAATATGCTTTCCATGTCATTCTACTTTGATCCATTCTCTCTAAATGACCAAACCACCTCATCAACCCCTTCTTCTGCCCTCTGACTAATACTTTTATTAACTCCACACCTTTTCCTAATTTCCACACTCCGAATTTTTCTGCATAATATTTACACCACACATTGCCTTAGACAGGACATCTCCACTGCCTCCAACCGTCTCCTCGCTGCTGCATTTACCACCCAAGCTTCACATCCATATAAGAGTGTTGGTACTACTATACTTTCATACTTTCCCCTTCTTTGCCTCCATAGAAACTTTTTTTTGACTCCACATATACCTCAATGCACCACTCACCTTTTTTCCTCATCAATTCTATGATTTAACCTCATCCTTCATAAATCCATCTGCCGACAACTTATCCCCCTATAATTTTTGCACTCTCTTTTTGTCCCCTTTGCCTTTATACAAAGGAACTATGCATGCTCTCTCCCAATCCCTAGGTACCTTGCCCTCTTCCATACATTTATTAAATAATTGCCCCAAACCACTCCAAAACTAAAATCCCCACCTGCTTTTAACATTTCTATTTTTATCCCATCAATCCCGGCTGCCCTTACCCCCTTTCATTTTACCTACTGCCTCACGAACTTCCCCCACACTCACAAACTGGCTCTTCCTCACTCCTACAAGTGTTATTCCTCCTTGCCCTATACACGAAATAAACAGCTTCCCTATCTTCATCAACATTTAACAATTCCTCAAAATATTCCCTCCATCTTCCCAATACCTCTAACTCTCCATTTAATAACTCTCCTCTCCTATTTTTAACTGACAAATCCATTTGTTCTCTAGGCTTCCTTAACTTGTTAATCTCACTCCAAAACTTTTTCTTATTTTCAACAAAATTTGTTGATAACATCTCACCCACTCTCTCATTTGCTCTCTTTTTACATTGCTTCACCACTCTCTTAACCTCTCTCTTTTTCTCTTTTTCCCTTGTCTATTAAAAAAACACTTGTCTCCATTCACTCCTATCTAAAATGCTCACGCCCATTATATTCCTACCTACTTCTAACATCTGTCTTAATCCCATCCATTTTACCCCCTTTCATTGTACCTACTGCCTCACACACTTTCCCTACAGCCAACTCAGGCTCCTCACTCATATATCATGTTATCCATCCCTGTCCCGTGCATGAAATCACCACCTCCCCTCCATCATTAACACTCAACAACTCATCAAAACATCCTCTTCATCTTTCTAGTACCCCTACCTCTCCATCTAACATCATCCCACTTTCATTTTTAACTGCTAAATCCCTTTGCTCCCCAGGCTTTCCTCACCTTATTACTCTTCAAAACTATTTCTTATTTTCAGCAAAATTTGCTGATAAAAATTTAAGTCATTCTCTCATTTGCTCTCCTTGAACTTTCTCACTGCCTTTAACCTCCCTTTTTCTTCTTCATATACTCTGTCTTCTAAATATCATTTTTACATTGTAAAAACCCTCTCCTGTTTATTTTCTCCCTTGCCAACTTCTACCTCTAAATAATACAGCCTCTCCTCACTTAGCGACGTACTCGTTTACCGATGCCTCGAACTTATGACAGGCTCTCTGACCAGTATGCATACCTAAATAATGTATATTAGAGCTGATTTCCTCTATTCTGTTTATTACAATATACAGTACACTACTGTAAAAATATTTAAAAATATACCAAAAATGTTACAAATGGAACAAAGGTGACATTACAACAATATCAAAGATAGCTGACACAAACCCACTACCATTATATAATATGCTCCTCACTTAGCAACGAATTCATTTACCAACGTGGTCTTAGGAACGAAACTCTGTCATTTAGTGAGTAGAGGCTGTAATAACATTAACCCTTTCAGGGTTTCTGACGTACTAGTACGGCTTATGCACCAGGGTTTTTGACGTGCTAGTACGCCTAAATTCTAGCGCCCTCAAATCTAGTGAGAGAAAGCTGGTAGGCCTACATACGAAAGAGGGTCTATGTGGTCAGTGTGCGCAGTATAAAAAAAAATCCTGCAGCACACAGTGCGTAATGAGAAAAAAAAAAAACTTTGACAGTATTTTTGGTTTAAAACAGCAACTTTGCACTGTATTTTCGTATGGTATTTATGATGGTATTCTAGTTTTCCTGGTCTCATTTTAAAGAATGGAAGACATATTACAGAAATTGAGATGATTTTGATTGGTTTTACAATGAAAAGTACCTTGAAATTGAGCTCAAAGTAGCAGAAATCTTCGATTTTTGCCAAAGTTAAAAAGTAAACAAATCATGCTACGCATCCAATACACGTCAACTGGTGAGTCTAATATTCTTTCACAAGTGTGCTGATATTATTTATACCATTTCTACACTGATGCAGTAGTCTGCATAACAGTAAATCATCTATTTTTTGTGAGAATAAAAATTCAAAGTGGAAAGCAAAAGAAATGTAAGAGGGGCATGGGGACATGACTAATGAACAGAGGAAATGTTATTTTAGTGCCAGGAATGTCCTTCTTGTTTATTCTGGACCCTGTTTGGAAATTGGCATCTTTTGAAATTTGTGTGAAATTGGCAAAATTGCTAAATTCTGACCACTTTATTGGATAGTTGAAATCAGTAAATGGGTGGTTTCTTGTACTCATTCGATAAAAAAATGGAGTTCTAGTGAAATAGTTATGATTTTTGTCAACTAGTACACTGGAATTGGCCAAAAATAGGGCTCAAAGTGGGCAAAATCGCTGTTGTGTAAACATCGTCGAGACCGCTAACCTTGCGAGAGCATAATTCCATAAGTTTTCCATCAAATTTCATACTTTTGGTGTCATTATGATCCGGAAAAGATTATCTATCTTTTCATAAGAAAAAATAATTTTTTTTTTTTTAAATTTGTCGACCCTGAGAACAAGTCTGGGAGAGGGCCTGTCGACCCTGAAAGGGTTAATGGAAAGGAGGAGGAGCAAGAGGGAGGAAAAACAGGAGAGATAAAGAGTAAAAATCAAGGATTGGATGGAGATTGAGAGAAGAGTTTAAAAAATATCAAGAAGCTAAAATGCCTGTACATGTTAATTTAAAACAGACTGGATAAAGCTCTACATAGAGCAAAACATATTAAAGCTTGCCCTGGACCTGTGTTTTCTATAAGACACAGACTTTATACAGAAAGTTTACTCAGTAAAATAATGTTAATTCTGGACATTATCTGTTCAGTCCCAAAATTTTGTATAAGATCAGATAAAACACAATTAAGAAACAACTGTCCAAAAAACTGCAGTGAAGCAAATAGAAAAAGCAAAAATTATCACCTTACATTCAATGCACCAACTTTACCCAAGTGATATACTGTATCATTAATAATAAGGCTTGTGATAACTCCAAAGTCTTCTCAATTCTACTTAGTACAGTAGCAAATAAAGTTTGTATGAATTCAGTAGTAAGTTAAAACAGGGATCCAATTTACTTACAGATTCCATGTTTCGTTTTAAAGTATCAAAAAGACGTGTAAATGCCTGGATGGCTGCACGAGAAACTTGAGAGCGGAGATTTTTTGCTTGCTTGAGTAGTGCTAAATTGACACTGTGTAAGTCAGAGTGGAGGACTTCAGGATGGTGCTCAGTCAGTCTCACCATCATCTCAATTCCTTCAACCTGATTCTCCCTGGAATAGTGCCATGTATAATAAAAAAAGAATACAATTACCTTCAGATTAAAATGAACTTTGATAAAGGTTCTATAACATGAAGGTGATTAAAGAAAGGATGTGCAATACAGTACAGTATCTCGAAGGCTATTTTACTTTTAACCTGTAAACGGTCCAAACGTATATACACGTTTTTTCAACATTTGAAAGTATGTAAAAAAAGTAGATCTTCTTTTTGTTTTTTTACATTTGAAAATGTGTAAAAAAAACTTTGATCTACTTTTTTTTTTGTTATATTTGAAAATATGTAAAAAAATGTAGATCTACTTTTGGAGCACTACACATGTGAACGTAGATCTGCTTGGACCGTTTACGGGTTAACATGAAAAGTTCTCATATAATCATAACCTAGCAGATAGCCCCATACTGTTTGTACTGCAACCCAGCAGAAATAGTAATAATTCTGACATCACACCACGGGTATAATATAAAAAGAAAAATTACTTTGTACATAAAATAATTTTATATTCCTCTATTAAAAGACATTATATGTCCAGAATGAAATAAAGCATGAAGTTACTAAAAGCAGAAAAAGCTTTGTAAGACAATAAAATAAATCACCATAATTATGGCTGACAAACAAAATATTGAGCTGGAACCTTGAACATCATTTATTTTCAGTCTGAGAGTTAACACTGCACAGTTCAGACTGTAGCAGTTAATATAGATGGTAGTAACTTCTCTCTGTGACAAGCTCTTTCAGGATAACGTGAACAGACTGCAAAAATAGTCTTGTGCTACCAGTATTTACTATCGAAGATATGGTACTATGTTCCACAGTCAGCCCTCCTGGCCCTATATCACTCACTTATTTACCCCTATCTCACCTATGGAATTTGTGCATGGGGCTCAACAACAATAAACCATCTCAGACCATTAATTACCCAACAAAAGGCTGCAGTCAGAATGATAACAAATTCCCACTACAGGCAGCACACTCCACCAATATTCAAAATTCTAAACGTACTCAACATACAAAACATCCATACTTATTACTGCACCTACTACATACATAGAACACTTAACTCTGATATAAACCCTCCCCTCAAACGTCTCCTTACCAACCTCGACAGAACACATGACCATAACACAAGGCACAGATCACTCTTTGATGTTCCTCGTGTCCACCTCACGCTATGCAAAAACTCAATGCACATAAAAGGCCCTAAAATCTGGAATTCATTACCTGTGAATATAAAAGAAACACTGTCTGTTTATAAATTTAAGTCTCTTCTCAAAAATCACTTACTCACCCACAACTAAATAAATACTGAAAAATTGTATCTCATAAATTGCATCTCATAAATGTTTCTCATTATTGTATCTCATAAATGTCTAACCTGTGACCCAATCAAACTTTGTTATTTTTTAATTACATTACCTAACAGAATACTCCATTCTACTGAATTCACAGCAACACAGTAAATGATCATATGACCTGTCTTTGTAATACTCATTTGTGTTAAATTGTTATCTGTTTACAATAATGTTTTTACCACCGAATATATCATTGCTTAGTTAATCTTAAGTTAATTTTAAGCTGCCCATAATGCTCTGCATACAAGGGGCTTTGGCATGTTGCACTTTAATAACTGTATTCCTTTGTACTTCTCTGTATCATGTTCAAATTAATAAATAAATAAATTTGAATTTAATCCTAACATACACAAGGTGAGAGGGGAACAATTGCTCAGGTTAAAAAAAAAATGTGTATATACATTGCGAGGGTCTTGGCAAGAGGTGTGGAGTTAAAAGATAAAGAATCAATCACAAAGTGGGAGTTGTCACAGTTGCTTTTTGCTGATGATACTGTGCTCTTGGGAGATTCTGAAGAGAAGTTGCAGAGGTTGGTGGATGAATTTGGTAGGGTATGTAAAAGAAGAAAATTAAAAGTGAATATAGGAAAGAGTAAGGTTATGAGGATAACAAAAAGATTAGGTGATGAAAGATTGGATATCAAATTGGAGGGAGAGACTATGGAGGAGGTGAATGTATTCAGATATTTGGGAGTGGACATGTCAGCGGATGGGTCTATGAAAGATGAGGTGAATCATAGAATTGATGAGGGGAAAAGAGTGAGCAGTACACTTAGGAGGCTGTGGAGACAAAGAACTTTGTCCTTGGAAGCAAAGAGGGAAATTATGAGAGTATAGTTTTACCAATGCTCTTATATGGGTGTGAAGCATGGGTGATGAATGTTGCAGAGAGGAGAAGGCTGGAGGCAGTGGAGATGTCATGTCTGAGGGCAATGTGTGGTGTGAATATAATGCAGAGAATTCGTAGTCTGGAATTTAGGAGGAGGTGCGGGATTGCCAAAATTGTTGCCCAAAAGAGGGCTGGGGGAAAGGGTTGGGTTTGAGGTGGTTCGGACATGTAGGAAAAAGGGGAACAAAGGGGAAACAGAATGATTTTGGGTTTTATAAATCTGTAGTAAGGGGAAAAGGGGGGGGGTAGGGTTGCCTAGAAAAAGGTTGGAGGGAGGGGTTTTTGGACTTCCAGCAAACATGTGCGAGTATTTTTGGGATAGGGTGTTTGGGGGAAAAAAGGGTTTTTAATACCTGACTTTGCTTTTGGGGGTGGAGCAAAGTAACATTTTATAAAGGGGAAATTTCGGGGAAACCAGCAGGTTGATTTTCGAGTCCTGGAGATGGGAATTTACATGCCCTCCCACTCTGAAGGACGGGTGTTAATTTTGGGCCAGTTTTAAAAAAACTGAAGGAAAAGGGCACCCCCTGGCAAACATAAAGGGGAAGTGAATGATGGTGAAAGTTTTTTTTTTTTGGGGCCACCCTACCTTGGTGGGAATCGGCCGGCGTTTTTAATAATAATAAAAAAATTTATTTTTTGTACTTTTACTGTACCGTTGGCGGGGTAAATTTCCCAAAGGGAAAATCTTTTTTCCCCGAAATTTTTTAAAAACTAAAAAATTTTAGACAAAATTCAATTGCATTAAATAAAAAATTTTACAATTTTTAACCCAATATAAACATGTAAATAGTTAATTACCACTGAACTTTTTTGCCTTTTTAAAAGTTTGTGCCCCCTGGACCAATTTGAAATTGCCTTAATTTTTTTGACTACCACTCACAGGGGGGAGAAAGGAATGCATAAAAAAAAAAATTTTAAAAATCACAAAAAATTTGACAATTAGTAAAACATGATAATTACTTTTTGGAAAATGGAAATGTAAAAAAAAAATATAATGTAAAATGGCTGACGAAAATAAGGGGAAAAAAAAGGGTAACTTTTTCCCAGCCCCCCTCCAAAAAAAAAAGCAACCAAAATTTTTTTTAGGCCCCCAAAATTGAAAAAAAAAATTAAAAATAATAATAAAAGTGGGATGATGTATGTTGTAATAGTTTCTACTAAAGCTGGTGGGGAAATGATTGTGGATTGATGACAAAGGTTCTTGCACTGATGTCGATAATTGTACAGGAGTGTAAGGAATTTTTTTAACGCTTTCTTGGGCCCGGGTTTTACCCTACGGGATTTTTAAACAGCGGGACCATAAAGACATCATCAGGGCAGGTCGTCCTCCCTCTCCCCAACTATGGATCTTATATATGGCCTTGGATGCACGGGAAAAGAAAATCAGAATGCAAAATTAATATACACAGACTTTTTTAAAAGGGTTTTGGGAAAAGTGCAACCCATGGCTAATAGGCACAAAATCATGCAAAAGGGAATAATGGCAAAGGGGGGAGATGGCCCTTAAATTTTCCAAACCCAAATTTCCGAACCGGGAGTAGTGGTCAACAGGGTTAAATCGGAGACGGGAAATTTTGTGAAGAGCTCTTTTTCCCAAAAGGCACGGGAAATTTTGGCCCCATCCTTTTTTCCTCATCCTTAATCAGACACAGACAGAAAATGAAACCCCACAGCACCGTACCCACCCTTTTGCAGAAATACTAGGATTTTTGCATGAGGCTGTCATCTACTAAAGGAAAAAGGGGTTTAAAAAACCCCCAAAAAGGGAATTAAACAAAGTTTTCCAGGGGGCCCAAAGGAAAACAATTAATGTTCAATGGGAAAAATTTCCCAAAACTACTCCCTTTTAAAAGAAAACTGGAGGGGATAATAACTAGAACGAGTAAACTACAAATTTCTGGCCATTAATAGAGTGGAAAAATAATGAAAGGGGACCTAGAGTAATAAGGGTCTGAGGACCCCACCTTCAAGGATCACAACAGTGCCACGATCAAAAGGGCAAAAAAAATGTAGGAGGGAAAATTTAAAATGTTCAAAATATGAGACCCCCAAAACCCAATGATGTTTTTTTTTCCCAAATCACTTGTTCCTTTTAGGCTGGAATACTGCTGTCCCTTTTAACATCTCTGTTCAAAGTAGGTAAAATTGCAGATCTAAAAGAAAGTACAGAAAACCTTTTAAACTAATGTGAAGTTCTGTCAAGGCACCTTAACTACGGGGAAAATGTTTGGAAGCATTTGATTTGTACTCGGAACGTAGGAGAGAGAGATATTTTCAAAACCCTAAAATTTGGGAAAATCCGGGAAAGGGAAATGGCCCCAAATTTGCAAACAGGAATCCCCTCCCTAAAAAAATAAAAGTTGGGAAGGCAATGAAAAATTTCCCCCCAATTTAAAAAGTGGGGGCCCCTTTGGTACACAAAGGGGGGGAAAACACCATAAGTGCCCCGGGGCCCCCCAAGGGGATCTTAACAGCCTCCCCCCCAAAGCAAAAAAGGGGAAATTAACAATAAACCTCTGGCTCCCCTTTCAAGAAGAGCGGAAGATACCAAAAGTCAGTCCCCAAAATCACCCGGGCTTTTTGGTTCTTTTAACTTTGGGGCTGGGTGCGCCAGGTAACGCCGGGTTTGTTTCGGGGCCCGGACCCAAAGGGAGGCCCCTGGTCGCAGGGGCTTTTGTTTCCCTGGAATAACCTCCGGGTTTAGGATGAGGTTTTCCCCCAAAGGGGGCCCCAAAAAAAACCCCCATTTCAGAGCAATGCTTTTAGATCTGCGGGAAATTCTTCAGTGAAAAACTGCACTTTTTACCATAATATGGAACTGCTTACATAATTTGTTGAAATTTTAAAAACCTTTTTCCTTCCCCCCCAAGTTTTTTCTTCCCTCATCTTCATCTGTATCTGCCTCCCTTGGGTTTTGGGCAATAACTTTCCCAAACCCTTTCCTCTGGACTTCTTTATTCCTCATCTTCAAATATTTTAATTCACATCTTTCCCGCCCTATCTTCAAAACCCTCACCCATAATCTCTTTGGCCAGGGGGGGGCAATTTCCCAGACCTGGGTCTCAACTAAGGGGAAAAAAATTATTTAAAGTACTTCCCCCCACCCCAGAAACCCTAACTTTTCCCCCGCTTCCATTTTAATGTTGATTGGGGGAATTCATTCTATGGTTCCCCTTCCCCAAAATAGCTGATGGCTTTTGAACCCTTAAATTTAGCTAAAAGTTTTGGCACTCCAAGGTCAGAGTCCCCCATTTATTGCTGCCCCAAGGTTTTTTAAAATTTACTTTTTGTGTAGGGAACCCCTTAAAAAGTCCTGAAATGCCATGATCCAGTTTACTCCATTAAATATGTTTTATCTGGAGGTAAAAAACAGAGAATTTACATTGGATGCACTTCCACCAAAACTTCTCAAGAGTATGGGGGGTTATCAAAAGTTTAAAAAGAACCCTTTAATGAAGGTTGTTTTTGCACAGGTAAAACATGACTTTTAGAATGAGTGTTTTTTGAACATTTAATAAATAAATTTCCCCTTCATCCATACTGAATGGTTTGATCTCCACATACATGGTAAGGGGGGGTTTTATTTGTACCTTTTCCCCAGCAAGGGGTCTTGGAGTGCAAATGTTGACCCTTACCCTAAAGTAGCAAGTGACAGGGTCCTTTGCCACCACTTTTAAGCTTATCTAGGGTCTCAGTTTTTTTATAACATCAAGACTTTCACATTTCACTTTTTTTTCGCACTTCCCGGAAACCCCTCATATTCCCTTGGGTGCCATGCTTACTAGCCCGAGATGAGAAAGGATGACAAAAAAAATTATTTAAAACCCCCCGGGCTGAGTTTTTGTATTGGCCCCATAAAAAAAAGAGCACTGAGGTAGGTACATTTTCGTAGGCCACCTGAGAAAAATAATGGAGAGAAAGAACCTGGGGCATGCCACATTTTTTCCCATAAGTACTTTCCCTTATGTAAGCCCCATTAATACTGCAATTTAACAATCAGTGAAAAAAAAAAAATGTTAACAGATAGCCCTGTTAACCCGAATCTAAATGTTTATCTAAACACAGTAAAAATAAATCTGTCCTAAATTTCTAAAACCCCGTCTGCAGAATTTTTTAAGCTGATGAGCATTTTTAGGGAACATTGGGGGTTTGCAAAGGGCCCCGGGGTGGGGTTTTTTTTAAAGGGAAAGGGAAAAGGCTGGCTTTTGGCGTTCCCGCATTCCTACAAAATAATTTTCAAACTGCAGGGTTGGGGAAATCATCTGAGGGGTCTTTTCGGGGACATTTTTTTGGGCAAAAA